ATCCCTGAGAGACCCCAGGCGGCAAGCTTGTTTGGAACACAGAAAAATAAAATGACATCAGGAAAGAGCTGAACAGACCATAGATTCTCTAAACCTTGGCTCACAAAACCCCTCCCAGGAGGAATATGAAGGCCCCCATATTCCAATGACTGAGACAAATTACTACAGGAAAAAAAAAAGGCAAAGGCTGAACTAGTCCCAAAGGAAAAAAGATAATTTAAGGATGGGAGTGACTGCGGGGAGAGAGGAGCTTTATCTCAAAAACAGAACATGTAAGAAATTTTGGGAGGAATAGTTATAGATTTTTTTTTTTTTAACTCTTTGGCCCTAAGGAAGGTTATACGGGCAGCTTTATCATGGAGCAGTATTCCTGCTGGTACTTTTCTATGTTAAATATATTTTTACCAACGTACCAGAAGGTACCCTTAAAGAAACAAGAGTAGCTCCCTATCTTGTGTGGCTACAAAAACAACCCCTGAAGCATCCGTTCTTCCCAGTGTCTGATAGTCATTTATGCAGGGATATTTATTAATTTCAGGCTTTGGGAAGAAACTATAAGTAGTCTGCTTTCTGGTGTGAAGAAAGGACAGTGAAGAGGATGTATAATATGTTAAGTAGCTCTGAGGACACTAGAAAGAAAATTGAATGGGATAAAAGAGTAATGCAGAGGAGAGTGCTCTGTTTTAGGAAAAGCAAGGAAAAAAACCCGCTATGAAGTGACATTTGAGAAGAGACATAAATGAAATGGGACTGGCAGAAGTGTTCCTAACACCAGACACTTTTCACATGAGGGGGCCCAGTTTGAATGGCACCCACAGGCACGACCTCAGGGAGATGGCTATGCCATAGGGAATGGGACTGTTCATTTTCTGAAGGTCGAATGGCATAAATTGCATAATAAGAAGGAAATGATATTGGACATAAATATTTTCTAAATCACTTATTTTAATCACTGTGAAAAAAACCCAAACCCAAAATAGCAAGAAAGTGCCATTGCTTCATGCAGACCCACACCGGATGTCCATGAAATGTGTCTGGGACATAACAGCACATTGGTTACAAGATGTGCTTAGAGTCCATCTAACTTTGGTAGGAATCCAGGCTCTACCACTAACAATCTCTCTCTCTTTTATCCTTTCCAGCTTCAGTTTTCTCCTCTGTAAATTGGAGAGACTACCTGATCCCTCCACATAGGATTTTGAGGATAGAATGAGACAATGTCTTTGATGTGCAAGGTGCTGTGCTGGGCATACACTGTAAGGGTAAAAGTATCAAGTTTATGGCAAAATGTCAAAATCAACAAATAACTATGAACCAGATACACTCTATGGGGGGTGTGGGGTGGGGGAAGGAGAGATCGGGGTCAAAATAAGGGGATTGTAATTGTATGGGGAATATAAAAATAAAATTTAAATTTAAAAAAAAGAAAGAAAAAAATAAAATGTAGAATCTTGAAAAAAAATTTAAAAAATAGAGCTATAAATATATTACATGTCTGGCATGGAATAAAATGTATAAGGTGCTATTAATCAAACCATGTTATTTCATAATAAGGCTTTATAATAATCATTAATTTCATCTGATTTCTATTTCTCTTATAGAGGAGCTTCTTCTTGTAGTAATCTTGACATTTAGGATGCCTCATTTGGTAATAAGGTACAAGGCCATAAATGGTCTGAATCTTTTAAGGCATGAATGGAATACGAAACTCCACAACTTTACTAAGTGCAGTGGCAGGAATCCAAGAGATAGAGACCAGACACCTGGCTATGTTTTGAAACCCAGGACAAGGTTTTCCTGTTTGCACACCATGAAAAGGTCTTCTGTGAAGGACAAGTAAAATTTATTTAACAGAAGTGCTTTCCCAGAAGTGGAGAGATTGTTCCTTTCTCCTGGATCCTGAGTGTCGGCCTCAGTTCAAATCACACAGGTGCTCTACGAATGAAGAATGACAACTGTGCTTCTCTGGAGAAACTACAACACAAAGGGAAACTCTGCCATGCCTGTAACTCTCAATCACAAATGCCACTAGCAGGATGCGGGCATCTCTGAGGGACCACAGGCATCTGGTTCAAAGCCTGGTGAAGAAAAGGTCCTAGCACAACTCAGATTGATTTGTCATTCTGACATCTAGAAAGAAAAGGGGTCAGCTGGACCATAAAAATGTTGATATTCCAATTTTACTCCCATTTGAACTGTTAACATGTTTCTTTATGGAGTAGGTAGAACACATTGCAGAAATTTGTAAATTGGGAAAATGGAGGTGCAAGAAGCACCTCTTTAACAACAGCAAGAAAATGACCAGTCTAGTTTCCTAGGATGCTGAAGGGTACAATGGGAACAAGGGCACCAACTATTACCGAGCAGCCTGTGTGCCAGTGCCGTGCAAGTGTCTTACAGTTCGGAGTCTTATTATTTTCATGAAACTCTGTGAAAATGATGGTCCTTGTGGCACCATCATTTTACAGATGGGAAAAACAACTCCTGCAATAGAGTTCAAAATTAGGGTGCACATTAAAGAGCTGGCCACCCCCTCCACAAAATCAAATTTTTCTTGAGCCTCCTTGGTCTGTCTGAAGCTAGAGACTGTAACTTGAAAGAGTTACATTTTCTCCCCCATTGAAGAGAGTTTGGAGATTCAGGCAAAATAAGAAAATCTGAGAACTAGATAGAGAAATGACTAGTAAGCTACTAGGTAGAAATAAACATAAGTTAATTATGTAAAGTGAGTCAGTAAAGTTTTGATATCAGAAGTAGCAATCAGGACAAAGCGGAGCGCCTGAATCAAGGCAATTAAGTCATGGTAGCCTTCTTTCCTCTCATGCCCTATTGTTAATCACTGAAGGGATCAATTTGTCATCCCAGGGAGAATTCTAAATGACCACCCTGTCCTAGCGGCCTTAGAAGATGTCATAAAATTACAGAAAATAGTGATAGAGGGCCTGGGAATGTCAAGTCCAGGGAGTAAATCTCACAGCAGCTGTTTTGAGTTTGTCCACATTGTGTTCTCCCATTCAGGACCCAGGAAACCCTTCCTTCTTTGATATATTTCCCATAGATTATAAGGATTTTTTGGTAAGGAAGACAAAAACCTCTCACAACAGTCACCCCTAGCAAATAATTGGGCTAATGGACACATTTACTTTGAAACAATGGCAACTTCAGACTCAAGAGGTCCAAGAAGAGAACTTTTCTTATCTCAGGGACTTTCCATCAGGATTTCACAATTCAGACTGACTGACTAGAGGACACTGACCATGCACTCTAAGAGACAAGGTCTTTATATTTCAAAGCAAAAGCTACATTCCGAGATTTTAACATTTCCATAATGAAATTAAAATACCATAGAGTATCTATCACTTTCCCATTAAGAAAGCCGTGAAACATCAAAATTTGCTCATCTCTGTATTTTTCTCCTTTCATATTTCATGAATGCCAGAGGTACTTAAAGGTGGGCTCCTGAATATATCATTTAACCCAGTTATTATGGCAGAGTTAGGGAAAGATGAGAATGGATGGGATGTACCTATGGGTAAGCAGTTTTTACTTAAATCAATCAGCAAAAAGTAACTGAAGAAGGTAGTTAAAAAGTAGCTGAAAAATCAAACATCATATAATAACCAGGAATCAAGATGAATCCAGTGTACATGTATGAAGAATTAAATGAAAATGGTAGTATCCCATTACCTGTATTTCTATTTCTGGGGGAAATTTAGAGATAGTATCAGCAAAGTAACCCACACCTGTGTGAATCTATAAGATCTGAAAGCAAGGTCTTGGCTACAAGATAAAAAGTATCAGATATAGCGGGACTCCCAGGAGGCGCATCAGTTGAGCACTGGGTGCGAGGCTGCCTGCAGCCTCTACAGCGCCAGTTCGATCCCTGGCCACCGGTGAGGGTCCCACATGGTGCGCAGACCTCTGCCACGCCTGCTGCTCCCCTCAGCAGTGTATTTCGTCAGTCTGCCTGTTCTGTTCCCCACTCTGGCTCTGGTGAATCCTCTCACCCTCCCACGCTTCTGACTGTACCCAGTGCTTGTATAAAATAAATAAATAAAACTTTTAAAAAAAAGTAAAAAAAAAAGTATCAGATATAGCAACTTAGCTCTACTTTAGAAAGATAAATCCTGAGATACTTTATAAAGCCACAATCAGGAAAACAGCAAAATTCAAACGAGTTTGAAACTAGGATTCACAGTAAAGAAGTGAGCACCCCAAAAGGCAGATCTTTCTTGAGCATCATCAATGAGTCTGACATTATGCAAAGTACTTTTTATGTACTTCCTCATAACTGCAGTAACTCCATGAACTAGGTAATATTGAAAATTCCCATTTTCAGATAAGACTGTGTCCAAAGTTACCCAGGTAGTAAACAGTTCAACAGCAAAAAAAACCCAAAGCAGGTTAGTCCTGCTTAAATCATTTTGCTGTCTGCAGAGAGGGCAGGGCATGCTGGGAAACAAAGCATGTGGGACTTCTGAGTTTCTCTTTCAGGCAAGTTGTGCTGCAGTGTTAAAAAGGTACTTTTTGTATAGATGTAGTTTCCGTTAAGTAAGGGTAGTCTAAATGGAATTCCATCTCCTTACACACTTTTTTTTTTTCATACTGAATTAGCTGTACTTGGAAACCAAACCAATGAAGGCAATATGGGGGCAAAGTGGCTGGGCACTGTTATAAGACCGGCATAAATTCTAGTCTCCTCTCTGCCACTAACTCACAAGTTGAACATAAAGCATCCATTTGTCCTCAATAAAACTGAACCATAATCATGTCCAAGACCACATTAAATGCTGGGCTGTAATGACCAGGGCAAACTTTTTCAATGAATTGTTAACCAAGTGTTGACATTTACACATATGTGCATTGAGAAATCAGCTAATCTGATTTTCTACTTCCATATATTCCTTGCGCATATAATTTAGATATTAATGGTTCTCCTTTTGTATTTCAGAGTGAAAAATCAATCAATTAATCATGACAGGCAGACAAGGATTACGTACTATTTTCTTATCATAGGATTCTCCACTGCTGTAGGTCGTGGCCAGGGTAGACGAACACTCTTCCAGGTACCAAGGCTTCTTCCCGCTTTCAGCTGTGCTGCTGATGGAGATGGTGTAGATGCTGTTGGTGTAGCCATCACAGGAGCAGTGGTCTTTGCTCCTTCCACCATTTCCTGATGCCCAGACGAAAACAGAGCCAAGGCCTCTCCGCCCCTGTTCATAAACAGAAGAAGTTAAATGATGGAAGACAAGGATTATAGAAGCTAGATGAAGAGACGATCAAAACCACTGGAGCAGCACCAAATATTTGCAGGAGGGATGTGATATTTTAATAATATGCTGAATTGAAGGTGAGAAGAGTTGCATTAAAATTAAAAAAAAAAAAACAATCCTATTCACAGAGTAGAAAAGTAACAAGTAATCCTCATCATTAATGGGGAAACTAATGACTAACATTCATTAGGTACCTACTATGGGCTGAGCAATTCTAAATGTTTTCTAAGATATATTTCTAGCCCCATGTGATTGGTACAGTTTTTGTCCTCATTGTATAGATGAAGAATTGAGAGAAGTTAAGTAATGTTTGTAAGATCTATAATAAGTGCTAGGGCCAAAATTTGAACCTAGTCAGAGCTCAGAGTTGGATGATTATTAGTGACAGTTACCATATGATATGGTATTAAATCTTTATCCGCATGAAGTGATGCTATTAGCATCCTCATTTGACATATGAGGAACATGAGGTGTAGAGAGCTAATGTACTTATCTTCCTTCTAGAGCTGCACTGACCCTCTGTAGGGTGCTGACACATATTATAGGGTTGTTAATTGGATCCACCAAAAACAAAAAGATTTCAATATCAAGTGTGTTTGGGAAACTGAGTTAAACATAATTAAATAGGTTCCCAGTTTCCCTTATTGAAGAACTGCTAAAAATCTTTCATAAGTGATTCTTCACTATAAAAGTCTGAGAGGGAAATACAATCTAAAGGAATATCTAAATATATTTTATTATAGAGACCTTTTGCAATTAGATCTATTACCTTTTTCTTACAAAGCTAGGAGATGAAGTCAACTCTTTATGGCAAAAGTTGACAAAAATGCAAAGATTTCCCAAAGGTAATAAAATAATGAAGAAGCAGAGTAGATGATAGAGTATTAAAACATAATGGTTATTTGGTTCCCTAAGATGAGATCTTTGGGAGAAAACAGAAATAAGCCAAAGTGAAGAGTATTTCTGGGAATAGTTAGAACTGAGGAATTTTATCATTCTAAAATCAGAAGGCACATTATAAGGCAAGTTCAAATCTATCACTTAAAAATAGAAAGTGAGAAGCAGAGACATATAGTTATTGATGACTGAGCCTCTTTCTCTCAGGTCCTAACTTTCTGGTCTCAGGTGGTGGAAAAGTATTTGGAACATTGTCTTAGAATTTCTGGAAAAAGAGCCAAGGCAAGAGAGTTGACAAAGAATCTGGAATATCTGTGATAAACTTTCTCTGACCTTGAATCCTCAAGGAACAGAGTTATTTATGACATGATTTTACAGACCTGAGCATAAATTTATTTTTATCCTTCAGTGTGGAAAAAAGCAGTATGATTGTATACACAGGAATGGGAAAAATTCAGGAAACGAGACAGAGAAGGGGAGAAACTTCTGGATGCTATCGCCACTAGACAGCTGGGCCTGGTTTACCATCCCTGTTTCCATCAAAATATTCATGAAACATAGAAGACACAAAAAATTACCATGTCATCATAGATGTACACTTTTATTTAATGCATGGCAATTTTTAGAAGGAATTACTATTCATTATGGTCTTGATGGTCAGATTGAGAAACTCTGGTGACAGACATATCTAGAGTTTGGAGACAAAATGATAGCGAGAGAAAAAGGAAGAAGATTCCAGTGGGTGTCCTCTCTAGCACACACTGAGGGACTGCGCTGCAGGCAAACAATCTGATCTCATGGGAGCCTTATTTGACAATAGAACATATGAGCTAATACAAAATCCTACCTGGTTTAGAAAGCACTGCAGCACACAATAGATTAATAACCACAAAATAATGAAAAATCATATCTGGCACAATCACATATCTGTGTAAGATTGTGACTATGTGCCTATGTATAAAATTCAATGAAAAGACCTTCAAAAACAAATTGGATTTTAAAATAATATTTAATGACAAAATATTTGGAAGGCACTTTTATATTCACAATGTAGTTATAAATGATAGAAAAACTGTAAGAGTGTGGTCTCAGTTTAGAAAAAAAAAGTGTGTGTTTGTTTGTAAAGAAGTTAATGCACATAGAATTATAAGCATAAAGCTACTGAGAAGTAACAGGGTCACAGAATTTATCCTGTTTGGTAAGATTTGTGAAGATTTTTGTTTTCTTATAGCAACCTTCCATGACTGTGTATTATATTTATCAACAGGAACAAACATCTGAGGGAAAACAGAGGGCCTTTCTTAAGAGATAATAATTTTACTTTATGATCAAGGGGGATTTTATACCCAGAAAGTTGGTTGTAAACTAAAAACAGGAGACGCTAACGTTTATAGAAACTTACTATGTGCCAATCACTGTACAAACATTATTCTGCACAATCCAAGTCTATATCACCATAATTTCACAGATGAGCAAACCAGGGCACAGAAATGCCAGAAGCAGAGCTTGCAATTGAGCTGGAGCCAAAGCCTGGGCCCTTAACCCATGCAGTAGATTTTCTTTGGAGTGAAAAGAGAGCTAGTGGTTGCTGTACAGTTTTTAGCCAAGTGTCTGATGTCTTCAGTGAAGCCTGGCATTAAGGTCTAATAACACCATCTCTCAGTTCTTTCCAGACTTAGTGGTAGAACTAGAACTGAGAAAGAAAGGAGGCATTCCTGGCCCTGAGCTAGAGGAAGGATATCTACTTTGAGCCCAAGATCTCCCTGGAAATCCACCTGAGAAGGATTTCCTTAGAAGCGAGGACCAGTCAGCGCACTCTGGCAGCAACCCCTCTGCAGAAACAATGACACTTCTAAGGCCTCCAATGGATATTTGCTGGGTTGCAAGAACAGTTGGTTGAGAGGACTGTGGGTTAGCACTGTCTTGGTTCCTTCCAGACAAGAATGATGTCATTGTATCAAATATATCTATTTGAGGGAATTATTTTGCAACTGAGCATGGTGAAGGGAAACCTCAAAGGACAGTATGGGGTTAATGACTTCCTTCCCTGCTGACCCAGGGCTGAAGAGACTTGGGGGAGAGTCACTGAAGGTAGAGATGAGAACTAATCAGGGGAAATGCCAAGCCTTGCAGGGAGGAAGCCAGGGAAATGTGCTAAGACTCCAGTCTCCTCCCCCTCACCAACTTCTTATGACAAATTCCATGGGTTCAACCTCACAAGAAGCTAGAGGAACTGGGATCCCCTAGACAGAGGCCATAGGGATTAATGTCTCCTTATATAGAGCTCATGATGAGTAGGGGAGAGAAGATCTGGAGTGTCAGATGGGAGATATCAGTGTCTTCAGGTGTGTTCAAAACAGAGTTGTGTTCCCCAAGGCAAATTCAGGGAGAGTCTCTAATCCCCAACGTGACTATATTTGAAGTTGGGGGTCTGCAAGGATGTGATTAAGGTTAAATAAAGTCTTAAGAATGGGACCCACATCTAATAGAACTAAATTTCTTATGAGAAGACAAAGAGCCCCGGGTATGTGGGCACAGAGGAAAGGCCAAGTGAAAACACAGCAAGGCAAATGGATGCATGCGCAAGCTGAGGAGAGAGGCGTCACCCGAACCCAATGCTCCTGGCATCTCATTGACTTCCAGATTCCAGCCTCCAGAACTGTGTTGAAATACATTTCTATTGTTTAAGCCACCCAGTCTGTGCAGTTCTGTTACAGCAGATCAAGTTGACTGAGACAAGGTGAGGGGAGGAGACCAAGGGTGACCTGTCCCCACGGAGGTCACAGAATATGTGGCCAGTGACCACTGTATCCACGAGGCAATCTCACATCTAGGCATATATGAATGGCTTAGGATGAAAGTCGCAGAAATACAGACTGAATTTGAGGGCTGAAAATGCTATAGAGACAGCTGCTGAAGATCTTTGGGGTTAATCTGAAACAATTAGCAATTCAAAGATTTATTTACTACAGATGCACAGGAGATTTTGATTAGTGTGCAATATTCAGAAAATTAAAACATGTGGTAGAAAATAAATCTGCCAGTTCTCTAAAATTCAGTTATTTAAGAATCAAACCTTAATGTGGGATTTAAGGAGAATTTAAGGAAGGTGGGGCAGAATACTGCAAATAGAAAAGAATCTTGAGAGCTATTTTTCCAAAGTGTTGGAAACAACATTTTCTAGTTTGGTAAAGCAATGTGATTGCAATTAGTTATTTAAATATGGTTTTGGATGAGAAAACAAACAAGAAAATCCTCCAATTTAATTAGGTGTTAAGTTAAAAATTAGCAAACTTAAGGCAAAATACGTTGTGAAATCCACAGAGGATGCATTTGACCAAACTCTAAATATTCTCTTTCATTGTGATTCTAATTGTGCATGTGTTCCTCCTCAAATACACCCTACAAATCAATTTATAATACCCCATAAGCATTATTATTAAAGGCTAGAAAGGAACTAGACTTTTTATGGTTCAGGAGGTCAGGAAAGGTTACATTACTCTGGATTACCCATTAAATTGTACATCCCAAGTCAAATTTTGAGAACTGTAGGGTTTGATGAAACCAAATTCCTCTCTTTAAAATGGCATGCTAAATTTTCAGCCAATGCAGTTAGATTTGCTATTTTAATATTACTTTAATCTAAAGTATTGCTTAGAAGACATTTTCAAAGGGGAATGAGCAAGTGACTGGAGGCTTCTTACAATACAAAAGGAGGAAGAAAGATAAAAACATCTCCTAACATGTGTGTGGACAGTGTGCCAGGTGGTTTCACACATATTAGTTAACTTAGAACAGTACTGGCAAATTTAGATATGCATTGTTACAGATAAGGAAACTGAGTATCACTACATGCACACGATCATATAACGAGCACATATAACGTGCACATATAATCATATAATGTAGTGGAGACAGGAAAGGAGCACTTCAACAAATTGGATCAGAACCTACTTATCTGTAGATGCCATCCAAATGGAGAGACACACATTAAAGAACTTTAGGATGGGGCACTTTCATTCACCCATTACACCTTCCAAGTT